TGTCATAAGGTACAACCCAGTTCTTCTTACACACTGTCACACACACAGGAACAGGTAGTGTAGGTGTGAACAGAGAGGTAAACCTTGGGTGGTATATCTTGAGCTCTGGAGAGATGTGACTGAGAAGAATGAAGATGTTTATATCGTGATCTACACCACTGTTATATACCTACGCTGTTATATACCTTGTTATACCTACAGTCTATAATGGTAATAGTATCCACTTCCAACATTCACTGTAGGCAGAACAAGGTAAATAATTACAGTGTTAATTATTTCAGGACAGGAACTTCTATATCACCTGTATAATAATTGTTCTCACGTGTATATGCTTAAGACTATTCTTCTCCGGCACAGGTATATAATTATAAAATAAATATCAATTAAAACATGGAAAATTTAAAAAAAAAAAATCCTAATATCTGAAATTTATTACTTAGTGTAGGAATTACTGAGGAAGTGTTAGTGAACAAGGTTGTTTACTAAGGCTGTAACTAAGGACACAGGTATCTAATGTCATGCGTTTAGGTACAGTTATCGTACAGTTTTAATGAACTTCAGATGCTGACCAACATTGGTAATAATGTACAGAAGAGTCTTGTAGGTAAACTTAATACAGCCTGTTAACGATTATCACCATATATAACTTGAAAGAATATATTTCTAAATAACAAAAAATAATTATCTGGTGTAGAAACTCAGTGAAGGTGCTCACAGACCTTGGCAGCTTGCTCGCCTTATGGCTTATACAGTAAACCTGAATGTTTCAGTGGGACCGAAGCCCCGGAACGAACCTTTCCTGGAGATTTCCTTTGTCTTGTGGGAGTTTCATAATATTTCGACACTACCGACTGACACCGCTAACGGCTCGGAAAACGACCCACACCACTGTAGGGGGAAGATTGGTGAGGAACACCCCCCCCCCCCTTCTCGTGGGGTAGCCGGGGTGTATAGGGCGGAGGGTTGACCCGGCAGACATGAGGGAACAGAACAAAGATAAAACACTAATAGGAAAGATGAAGTGTTTGGTTGAGCCCAGAGTCTTTCTACTCCTACTGTATTTCAGTTTCACCACTTTTTCTTCAACCCCTAATAATCTTCTTTCACCTCCTAACTAATGACTCCGTTCCGTTCCGGCAGACATTTGGCCTTTGACCCTCATGATGGGCACTCCTGGCGCTCAACTGTGATGAAATTGATCATGAACCCTGGAACGTGTAGTGGATCCTGTGTGTGTGTGTGGGACCTGTGACGGTGTTCTGCACAACCTCTGCCTCGTCTGGACCATACCATAGTTATGTATATGTACAGTAGTTCTTTGACTAGCTGCATTAAGATCGTTATCACAACTTCAACTGTCACCACCCTCACAGTGGTGGTTGTGTGGGCTGTTATCGAGGCCACCACCACTATCAATTGTACGTACTGTAAGTGTGAAGGACAACCAGTAATATTAAGTGAAGAACGTGTGGGTTATTTGGTCTTCCTGGAAGGTTAGACTATGCTTTAGGGAGTTTGAGTCCTAGTTTTTGCTTTTTATGTGGACAAAATGTTAACATGTTATCTCAGAAACCTTTCCGGGGAGGGGCAGGTGGGCGAGGTGATAGTTGGTGAAGTTTACAAAGTGTGGTCTCACCTGGGATAATCTCCTTCAGGTGACCTCATGTGATCAACTCTAGTCCATTTTATTTTTTCCATTTCGTCTTATTCCAAGAGTTTCCTTCATATTACTCGAAGTCTTACTCTTACGGTTTGACACTTAACCACTTCATGACCCTCAAATAGTTGATGTACAGTAGCTAAAACAACTATCTCTGCAGGTCGGGGTCGATAGGCTCCAAAATTTTACGAGTAACTAGTGACAGCCCTCATATACCAAAATTTATCGTCCATGGTCTCATATTGTTTCCCACAAAGTATGCACAGACAGTTGTGTTAGCTACTGTACACGGAATTTGGTCAACAACTGTGCATTTCTATACTTGTGTTGTGGGTATTGTATCTTGGGATTGATTACAGGCTGTTCTTGAGGTTGTGTGTTGATGATGAGTCGAGACTGGTTCATTAAGGAAGGGAGACTAAGAGTCGAATCTTTGTGTTGACAGGAAGTAGTCTCCTCACACTCGTATACAACAACTCAGATATTTTTATTCAACCTGACGTAATCTTCTATTCCGAGGGGTAATCTCAATACACCACACAGGTTTATACACCACTTATTGAGCAGAGGCTATACTGGTGTGGTATATAGGGTACTGGTGTGGTATATAGGGTACTGGTGTGGTATATAGGGTACTGGTGTGGTATATAGGGTACTGGTGTGGTATATAGGGTACTGGTGTGGTATATAGGGTACTGGTAGGGTATATAGGGTACTGGTAGGGTATATAGGGTACTGGTGTGGTATATAGGGTACTGGTGTGGTATATAGGGTACTGGTGTGGTATATAGGGTACTGGTGTGGTATATAGGGTACTGGTGTGGCATATAGGGTACATGGTACACACGCCTCTGTATCGTACCACAAGATCATGCGTTTCTTTACATATCAGTCCTTCCCTCGCGCCTTGACTACTGAACTTTTAACTGTACAGTGCTCGCGACCTTTCACGTAAACTGGAAAATCCTATGAATTATTTTTATCGACCGTTGTAGCAGCTGCGTCATCCTCAATAATAACGAATGTCTACCTCTACTCCCTTTGTGTGGGAGGTAGTGACATGATGGTGAGATAAACAGTGAAATATCTTATGGTGAGTCGATTTCTTGGAAAATTTAATCATTTGGGAAAGTTACGGTGCATGGCTCGACGTGGTTCATGAAGCCTTGGTGATAATTATACGTTAAGTATCGAAGCAGCGAAGGTAGCCAAAGGTTTAGCTGAGAACAACTCCAGAGCTGAAGCAGATTACCTTAGATTACAGTGATAGATATATCGATTGATGGATAGACAGACAGACACAGATATTCAGTAAAATCATCATATAGGTTTACAATGTTTCAACGGACAAAGGTCCATATATAATATAGAGATAAATACAGTGCAGGTATAGGAGCGGTGCAACTGTGACCTTGTATCCTAGAAGCTGTATCACGATTTCACTGGTTAATGGAGGGAGACCTACACAAGAGAGTGATATTGGTGACCAGACAGTGATATTAGTGACTAGACAGTGATATTAGTGACCAGACAGTGATAATGGTGACTAGACAGTGATATTAGTGACTAGACAGTGATATTAGTGACTAGACAGTGATTATGGTGACTGGAGTGACTGTCACTCTAGTCACTATAGTCACTGTCTAGTCTCTATAATCACTGTCTAGTCACTAGACAGTAATATTAGTACCCCCTACCCCGCACCCCTGAAGCCCCGTACCCCTGTACCCCGTACCCCCGTAACCCATTACCCCATTATGACCTCTACTCTGTAATCCTTTTTGCGCCACCACTCACATGAGTACGGGGTGCCCAATAAACTAGCTGCTGTCCGCGGCAAAATTAAAAAAAAATAGATAAAATAAAATAAAATAAATTGTCAGTTGCGTGTCTCAAACCCGCTGGTCACTGTGTACACACCACCAGCGGCCGACCTTCTCTGTACACTCTACATGAAGGTGAGATCACAATCCCTCTCGCTAAGAACGTGGAGTGTGCTGGGTAAGACAACAACGAGGCGGGTCCAGTCTTCTTGCCGGTCAGCCAATCCCGGGCGGTTGTCTGCAGACTTTGACTCCTACTACAGAATAATACATAAATTCCTTTTTTGTTTTCCTTAAGTTCATGACAAGTGGATTTGATGAGTGGGAGGAAATACAGGAGAGAGTTTAGTTTATTTCTCTAACGTTTCGGGCTACACAGAACCCATTCTTGACACTGTTCATACCACGTTCCAGACATATTCTCTAAGTAGTATCAGTGATGTTTTCTTGTAGAGAGCTTCATTGACATTGACACTACAAATACATAAAACGATCTGTGGTAACTTGTGCATCTCACTTGATACAGTTTCCTCTCTGTGAGTGAGCGAGTGAGCAGTTACATCCTGACAAGCTCAAATAATGAAATACTTTAGCCATATAATAAATAATGGGAAAGTTATTTATTTTATTCGTGTTGCCTTTATTTGTCTTTATCCAGTCTTATAAATGAATAGTCACAGAAGGACAAGTTATAGATAATGTTGATAAAGAATGAAGACAAATGTAAGAAGTGAAGGAGGTAGTGGCCAAGACACCCCAGTATCCAAGAAGTACTGTGTACCAGGCCCCACGCGTAGATAGGTCCACCGCCTTCGTAAACTTCCCAGAAACAGAATTTATTAAGGAATTTCAGCCCAGATATCCTTATAGGTATACTGTGGTAAGAGTATCATAGCCCCATAACCCAGCGATTAATAGGTACTCTTGTGACTAAAATCTTCCATCTACCTGGAGTTGTTTCACCTGGTAGAAGTTATGGGGAGGATTTCACCTCAAAGTTGATTCGGGTTTAATGGATTACAGAGACTAGTGAGGCTTGCGTGAGGCGGTCTATAGACTCCGTAGACCTAACACATCAGCGAAGCAACATACTCAACGATTTTCATGCCAATAAATATTTCGGAATTTCCTGTGCGATTTTCTTCACAACACAAGTAATTCATATTTTCAGTTTTAATATACCAGTTCCTTGTTAAACCAGGAGGGAGCATATCCATCCTCCCGTGTCCTTACATCTCCTTACAGCTTCTCAGACTTACATCTTAACCAATAGTATACTAGCAAGGTGTATAATGTGAAAGTGGTCCTCTGGGAACGAACCAGTAAATCTTAGGAGACAAGTACTGTCTCCACTCAGCCACCGCACCTCTTTCTCTAAATATATTATAAAACTCATCTGTATAATAATAATGGTTGCCCCTCGTGTAACAAGGATGGCCGGCCCATATCAGTCAACTTCACTCGGTATGGGATGACAAGTTTAAGCTACAAGTGATGGAGGTTAAATAAACAAGTCATACATTTATTACGAGACAATATCTCTTTATTTGTTCTTGATGAAGGTAACTTTCTCCTTTACCCGCGAGTACCTGTAATGTAAGCACAGGTATTATTAATGTTTTACCTGGGTCTTCCTGGAGCTAATTAGTACTACGTATGTGAACTATTTGTTGATATCGATAATATTAGATGTAAAATATAAAGTAATTTGTCTTTCATTTGTAATTAAAGGAATAAAAGGTATTTCTGTTTATTTGGGGGAATTATTAATATGAAGGTAATTCTTGATCATCTCTACTTACTTCCAAGACCACCGCCGCCTCCAAATCCACCTCCTGATCCACCACTTCCACCTCCGTGATGGCGATTTCCTCCACCACCACCACCGCCGCCTCCAAATCCACCTCCTGCTCCACCACTTCCACCTCCATGATGGCGATTTCCTCCACCACCACCACCGCCGCCTCCAAATCCACCTCCTGATCCACCACTTCCACCTCCGTGATGGCGATTTCCTCCACCACCACCACCGCCGCCTCCAAATCCACCTCCTGCTCCACCACTTCCTCCTCCATGATGATTATTTCCTCCACCACCTCCAATTCCTCCACCACCTCCAAATCCTCCACCGCTACCACCTCCTCCTATTCCTCCACCACCTCCAATTCCTCCACCACCTCCAATTCCTCCACCACCTCCAAATCCTCCACCACTTCCACCTCCATGATGGCGATTTCCTCCACCACCACCACCGCCGCCTCCAAATCCACCTCCTGCTCCACCACTTCCTCCTCCGTGATGATTATTTCCTCCACCACCTCCATTCCTCCACCACCTCCAAATCCTCCACCGCCACCACCTCCTATTCCTCCGCCACCTCCAATTCCTCCACCACCTCCACCTCCCACCACCACCACCTCCAAACCTCCACCGCCACCACCTCCTATTCCTATTCCTCCACCACCTCCTTTTCCTCCACCACCACCACACCTCCAAATCCTCCACCGCCACCACCTCCTATTCCTCCGCCCTCCTATTCTCCGCCACCACCTCCTATTCCTCCACCACCTCCTATTCCTCCACCACCACCTATTCCTCCACCACCACCACCTCCAAATCCTCCCACCACCACCCTCCATTCCTATTCCTCCACCACCTCCAAATCCTCCACCACCACCTATTCCTCCACCACCACCACCTCCAAATCCTCCACCACCACCTATTCCTCCACCACCACCACCTCCAAATCCTCCACCACCACCTATTCCTCCACCACCACCACCTCCAAATCCTCCACCACCACCTCCTCCAAATCCTCCTCCACCTGTGGGAGTAAAACAAAATACAAGTCAATACTCTTGCTGTCACTTAACATAATCACAAGGTACACAGACTAACTGGCTCGGTCTACCTGTGTTCGTGAAAAAAAGTTCTCTAACAACTAACTTCTGGTTCCTTGAGCACCAAACGATCCTCAACAATCATAGAAATAACAAATCACTAATCTAGATAACAATGATGACGTGGGTGATAGTGACGTCATAACTCAGAAGGATCGTGACGTCATGACTCAGAAGGATCGTGATGTCATGACTCAGAAGGATAGTGACGTCATAACTCAAAATATTTGATGTGTAATTTATAAATATTTAAGGCTCTGATAAGTGGTATATAACACTTCAGTATTTAGGCCAAATATTAACGTGGTTGACCTACACTGTCTTCTATACTGTCTCCAACACTGTCTCCAACACTGTCTCCTACACTGTCTCCTATACTGTCTCTAACACTGTCTCCTACACTGTCTCTCTTTTCTCATAATTTCTCTCACCAAATAAACTTTTCTCTCGGTCTCCAGATATTTTACTCACCTCCACCTGGATGACGTCTGCCGGCCACGGAGACCAGGAGAACAGCCGAGGCCAGGAGAACGATGATGAGAGGTTTCTGTGGAGAACAACAAGTAGAAGAACGTCAACACTGGGCAGAGATGGACTGTCCAGGTAAGGTACCAGACACCATACGTTACCTCAGACACCATAACACGTTACCTCAGACACCATAACACATTACCTCAGACACCATAACACATTACCTCAGACACCATGAAATCACACCAGGAGGAAAACATTGTACAGAACACTAAACTATTTAATTACCAGAGTTAATAAAGAACCTTTCAATGACTTAGGAAACTAAAAGTACATTAAAACTCTCCGAATCTTATATCAAAACAATATACTTTCGCTACCCTTTGACATCCTCTTTACCTGTGATTACCTGTCTTAAATTTTTACCTGTAATTACCAGTGTTGTATTAAGTTCCTAATCATTATAAGTTAAATTTCCAAAGTTAATCATTTCAAAACACTGTGAATCTCTCTGAATAATGATAACTTAGGACAGTACACCGAACAGTGCTGACTTACCATGGTTGTAGAGCTGAGTGAGGGTACTACCGTCTCCCCCAGACTACTGACGCAGGACTCCGGTGTTCCCTCCCTATATATATATACTCATCACCAAACCAACAATGACATCAACACACAGAAGGATATTTTGCAAGATCATCGAGAGAGTTGTTGACATAGGAGGAGGCGGTGAGGATGGGTGGGTAAAGTTAAGGATTTCCTAGAAGATGGAGTAAACTATTAGGTAAGTCGAAACAACATTAGTCTTAACTGATGAACAGTGTTTAGTGATGAAATATTCCTCGTTGTGGTATTTGATTTACAGTTTTGAAATTAAATGTTGCAAAAATGAGTAACTCTTGCGGGATTAACTATGGCGGGATTAACTATAACAGGGCTTACTATTGCAGGCTAATATTACAGAATTAACTCATATTTATTTCTAAAATTACACAGATTTATATAAAATAAACGAAAAAACATAACTGGATGACGTCACTGTGAATCATCTTTCTCATTATCATCATCAATGTCTTAATAAATTCCTGTAACTGTGATCTCAATATTGATTTATGTCAATTTTATATCCGACATTAATTCCAAGAAAACCTTTACGATGTTGTTGTGACTTTACCCAGTGTTCAGACTCTTGGGCCAGCTCTATTGTTAATTTTAGTGTTAGTAAATATTTTCTGTAGATAAAATGAAAAATGAACTTCAGTGTAAATATCAAGTAATAATGTTTATCAGGGATTTTGTTTTTTTTTCAGTTCGTATAAAATTTAAGTAACACAGCATTGAATAGGGTGTCTGTCTGTCTGTGTCTCCGTCTCTGTCTGTCTGTGTGCGCGTGCGTTATGCAAGACTGCTTTATTTAGCATTGAACCGGGGTTGGACATTGTGAAACCTGATTTAATTTCTTAGTTATATATTCAACTTAAAAATTTGCATTGCGTTTAATTAGTTTCTATTATATGTCTGTTTTAGTGTAGGTGTTGTGATTGTGTAATGTATTTTATATATAGTGTAATGTAAGTTGGGTATTGTGAATAATGTTAGTTTTTGGCCTAAGTATAGAGATGCTGTGGTTCCCTGTCTGGAGCCTACGATCAGTGACAGACTAGCCATGTGGACCTCAGGTATCAGGAAACTTGTTATTTTGTAGTGCTGCTCATTGCTACTTCACCATAATGCAGTTATTGTGAAGTGTGTTGTATTATAGGTAGTGTTTACATGTCAGGTTCATTATAAAAGTTAGTGTGAGGCTTTTGTGTTTTTTTTCTGCTTCAGGGTCACCGTCCTCCTCCACTCATCATTTTCTTATTAGATGATAAAGTTTAAATACTTTTGTAAATAGTGTTAAAATAGGCTTGTCTTTTTTCAGTTCGTAATAATAACTTATGTCCTTTGTTTTGTATTTGTTCAAATTAATGTTTGTGATATTTTAAGTACTAAGTATCTGATTTTCTTAAAATTGTGACTGTTGAGTCTATGGCCGAATGGTACGGTCTGTCAGGAGTTGGTTTCTCTGGTTGTCTACTGGAGTTGATGGTCTTGGTGGGCTTGTTTATGATGTCCTTGTCTACGGCTGCGAGCATGGAATATGTTTAGTGATTTTAGTAGCACAAAAACACTGCCATCAGGATACCCAGCCCCTCGCTTTAAACTGTACAGGGTGTGCTGGTGTACGTCACTGGTGGACATCAGTTGATTCTGTTGTTGCGGACGTATGGAAGTGTTTGTTCGGGGTGGCCTTGAACTCAATGAGGCACTTTGAGGGCCACCGACAGAATTTCCAGACGGAAATTCCATGGTGTAGTACACTGGTAGACATCTGTCAATATTTGTAAGCACCGCGGCAGCCTTGTCTCAGGGCCACTGACACAGTACTCACAGGTTAGTACTACACTGGTGATTGTTATTGTGAATCAAGATTGTTTTTCCCTTGCGATACATTATTGGATCACTGTTTGATAACCAATTTTTGTACTGATCATTTGAATGTTTTGTTGATAAATCCCGGAGTAGTGAGGATGGTAAGGAGAGGAGGGAAGGCAAGGTAGGGGGAGGGGCGGGGACAAACAGACTGGCCAGGACACGCCGAGGACACGTCTAGACTATGAGCGCAGAGACGGGTGTGTGTGTAGAGGTGTGATAAAATTTCTATATAAAAACGTAAAACTTTAAAAATAAGAATACATGAATATTTATTATGTAAACAACAAAACTACTCAGTCACTCAGGTGTACACAGTGTTCCAGATAAGTGACACACCTGGAGTTAATCACCTGTTGTACTTTGTCGTCTTAGAGCTGCAATAGCCAGATGGATATGTCTACAGTTCTTCAGGTGTTATGCAGGTTACTGTCAGTACTCGGTAGTCTCACATGTACGACCCTGACGACTGAGGTCAACAGAGGAGCCTGGAGGTATAGTAAAGATGTATTCAGTCAATAAACTTCCATAATGACACAATACACGTACAGAATTTTCTTCAAAGTTATAAAGAACTTTTGATAGATATATTTACTCAAGTTTATGGATTAAGATAAACACAAATTCTGTTTAAAACTTCAATACAGTAGAATATGTTGTACCAGATTGCTCTAAAACCCAGACATTAGGAAGAGAATGCAGAGTAACAAATGAGAGATATTTTTTTTTCTGTATTCCTTATTGGATTCATTGGTTTAAATTTATCACTTAAAAGGTTCCGATGTCTTATCTTGGTCACAGCCGGGCTATACACCTCCCCTCCTCCCCTCCCAGGCTATACACCTCCCCTCCTCCCCTCCTTCCTCTATCACAATACATGTACATTTATCTATGGTAACCTTTCTTGTAAAATTTTCTAATATATTTTTTTAATAATCTGATGTTTGTTTACACTGATGAAGATTCTTGTTATCACACATAGACGGACCTGTTGGCTATCTTATAATACTCGGAACTTGATGATAACATAACCCTTAATTAATGTTTTAAGGTAATTTAACAACCTAATCAAGATATCACATAAACAAGAGAAACTGGATCACATTTTGCATTGTCTAACATCGTAATAAAGTCATCTATACCAACACTTTTGATCCAATACTCTGTTAGTTGTTCCAGGACCTTACTGTGACTTGTGTTCTTACATTGTTAAAGTGACAGTGTCTCTTTCCAGGTGATGGGAGACCTTCACTCTAGAGGCTGACACCGTGGCTGACACCTTGGCTGACACCGTGGCTGACACCTTGGCTGACACCTTGTTGGGTTTCTGCCACAAGTGATGGAGGTTAGATAAACAACTTCTACATTTATATTTGCGAGAAAATTCCTTTATTTACCGATAATGAAGATGTTGAAATTATACAAGACATCATTATTAGTTCTTAGTTGTCAGTTGAGGATGTTGTTTATTTACCATGATGCCCTGTAATATAAAAACAATTATTAGATAAATATTTCTCCTTGATCTTCGAGAATAAATAAAAAACAAGAATATTTGGCAATTAAATTATAGATGACATCACACCAACGCCAAAATGTAAAATGTAAAAATATTAAGTCAATTTTATTAATCAATCAAAACTCATTATTTTTCTTTAATTATGAGGAGATTCAGGAACATATAAACACTCATTGGTTAGAACTTACTTCCAAAACCTCCTCCAAATCCATGTCCTCCTCCAAGACCACCTCCAAGACCTCCACCTAGGTCGACCTCAACACCTCTTCCTCGACCGAATTCAAGATCAATGTCTGCCTCAAAACCAGCTCCGCCTCCAATACCATGACGGCCACCACCACCTCCGCCTCCAAATCCACCTGCAAAGAGGAAATAATTAATAATACATAGCATATGGTATTAGATTCCTCAGGTAACTCTCTAGGCTCACTCAGGTACATAAACAAGGTGATCAATGAACTAATTAGAACACCTGGCCAAGTCTTACACCTTCGAATAAACTCTCAATTGAGATATTTTATTAATTACCTTAAAATTTCTAACAGATATTTACATAAAATATTAATATTTCCCAATTGTATAAGATAAATGTTGTTTTTTATACAGTTTAATATATTACTTCTATTTGACTGAATATATCTTGTTTCTCTACTCACTTCTTCTAGGGAGACCAGTTACGGAGACCAGGAGGACAGCTGACACCAACATAACCAAGAAGTAAAGTTTCTGTGGAGGAGAACAAGTATAGGAGATACACTTAACACTGGTAGGAGATACACTTAACACTGGTAGGAGATACACTTAACACTGTCATAATATAATATCAACATCCCGTAAGAATAAGAGGAGTTAAATCCATCATCACAAGTCTGGGGGGTTTAGCTTCCTTCAGGTGTAATGATCAGACCCAAAAATATATAGAATTTACAATATATTCTTCGTCATCCCAGAATCAAAATCTATATGAATTAAAATTACAAGTATATAACATAACAATATAAAAAAGTCAGTGTTGTAGTTCAAATGATCACAAACTCGTATATTAACATAACTTCTGGTGGAATATATTAACATAATTAAACATGGCTTAAATTAACACATCAACACAGACGACTTTACCATGACTGCCGGGCTGATTAAAGGGTTCTTCTGTCTCGTAAAAGCGCAACTCGGTGACTGCTGACGGTGGTGACTACTGACGCTGGTGCTGGCGACTAGTGGTATATATACTGCCGGGTCACTATATCAATACCACAAGAGTAAACAGTGTTACGAACTGGTAAGGGATGATGGAGTAAGAGGGAGGGACGGGAGGTGTAAACATCAGGGAAAGTGTACGAGGAGTTGAAATGGTCCGGGGAAGTCCTTGTTGAGCCAGGGTGTGGCCACGAGAAGGTGGGGAGGGGGGGAGAGACGAAGAATATTTGCCATAAGAAGAATTAAAACTAAGGAATGAAAGGAGGGAACAGAAGAATGCATCTCAAGGAAAAAACAAAGAAAAGAACTTGAGAATATGTAAAACTTCGAAAGTAACAAAGAATCAAGTAGTGAAGAAGTCCATAATAATGTATCGCGTAAAAAATATATATATTAAATTTTTATTTGAAGAATAATGTCGATTTCCTTATCTTTAATTTGCGCCATTGTGTGTGTGTGTAATAATTAACGGTTTATTGAAAGAACATGGCATCGAAAACGCTGAAAATACACCTTTTCACATATCCGTTGAGACATTGTTACATAACTATTTGACAAATTTCATAACCGAATGACAGAACACATATCTAATGACAATCTAAAATAACTGTTCGTTCATGCTAACGGAAGTGATTGACATAAGTTATGAAGTTGACAGACGTGAACAATAAACCGATAGTCTACATGTAGTTTGAGAATGTAACAATTGGAGAATGACATACCACCAACAGTTATTTTAGATTGTCATTCGATATGTGTTCTGTCAGTCATTCGGTTATGAAAATTGTCAAATAGTTATGTAACAATGTCTCAACGGATATGTGAAAAGGTGTATAGTCATAATTGGTGAATGGGTCACAGGTAACACATATGGTACAAATATGATATATAATAACAAGGTCATTCAAAAGGGAATTTCAAAATAGTAACAATTCAAAGGAAAGACTGGCTGGGAGTGAACACAACTGGCTAACTACGGAATTGCTGATATTTTTTTTTACAATGATGAGTGTGTGATAACTAGTGTGTGATATGAAAAATATAATTTCTCTTGATAAGATGAAGCTTATTCATAAAACGTTTGTATCATACTAGGCAATCACTTGTGTGTTTACAGTGCCATTGTGTAAGTTCATTGACGTCAGGCCTGGTATTCCCTCCCACCACAAGCGCTTGTGTCTTGGAAATACGTACAGGGAAATAATGTACGTCCTTGATACTGCAGCTCTGGGAGGACGAAGACAAAGTTCACTTACCTGGAACACTTTGTTGACTCAGGTGACTTGGTAGAGATGTCCTCCCTCCTTCAGTACAGTACAATAGTCCACACACAAAGCACACGTATTTTCTTTCTTGGTTCTTGTGTTTTTCTTATTTCGATTCCTTTTTATTTTCCATTTTCTTTGTGTCTTCCGTCATTGGTGTATTGTTTCTGATCGTTGTTCATCTCCAGTGACCAGGTGACAAGGACAAGTTAATGAACAAATTCTACAAAACCCAAACCTGGTTGTTTGTTCCACCAATATCAAACTTCCAAAATGTTCAAGATAATAAGTCAAATAAAACGGAAAATTATGAATGAACGTGATATGAGAATATTAGTACTAAGGGACTAACACTCATCCAATCCTGAGTCAGCATGTCCAGGACGACCTACAGTATACTGAGATTTTGAACAAAACTTATATGTCGACCCCAAAAAGTTTCCAGATCTATATAAAAACAGAAACCAACTTCTTGGCGAGTCCTATAACTCCCGGATCTATAGTTTTCAGGACGTAGAGTTAAACTACTGTACAATACGAGAAGATTTTACGTTTCAACATGCCCGAGACAATAAATTAACAGTGCGATATAAGGAATTAGTCAGTAATGGGATACCACTAGTCCTCCACCCTACTGCCACTTCAGCTTTCGTCTTATTCAAGAAATTTTCAGAAATTGCTCTTGATTTTCAACCTCAGAAAATTTATTCCTAAACCCGGAAATTTTGTGAAAATCTAAACACTGATAAATATTGAAAGAAGGAAGAGGAAAATATAAAATAAATCATGACATTTAAAGAAATATTTAAGATATAGAAAAGAAAGATAAAGAAAATTAAAATAAATAAATAAATATAAACATTTTAAGAAATACTTGGAAAATAATTAGCAAGTAAACCGGAAAATAAAAGATTATATAACTAAGAAATTAAAGAAGGTTATATGAGGCATAGAAATAACAGAAAGCATAACCAACGAAATTAAATTAAGTGATATAAGTATATAACAACATTCATATCATTTAAATTAGTTGCTGTACATTTGACTGAAAATCAGTGTCATGGGTCAGATCAATTTCTTACATGTATTGTTACAATATAATCAGAGCTTGAGTTTGCCAGGCAAGAGTGAAGTGGACTTTAAACGCACGAGCAGACAACTTTTTCTTCCGACCTCATCAAAATTTAGACAAGGGCCTACTGAGAGTTTGCCGTTAGATCTTTGAGTTAAGAAGACTGACATATTATTTTCAGGTTATTAATTACTTTCTAAAATATAAAACTGACAATAACTTCAATACAAACATCAGATTCTCTGATGATTGGGAGTCAAAATGATCTAACTTCAGTAGCAATTTGGCACTCGGGGCGTCCACAAGGACGGGTCAGGGATTCGTCACTTCTATTGGCAGACTCTACTCGAACTTATTTGACAGTTTCACTCACAATAAATACTTTACTTTTATCCTCTTCGCCACTGATCGGCTCGTTAGCCGCCCGGGCGATCGGTCACGTCTCTGTCATGCACCGTTGGCAAGTACTGGGCATGCACTGGCTCCTGAATGTACCTAAACCCGCTCCAGTGTTGGTCAAGTTGTCTTGAAAGAGCTCACACTCGGTGCCGTCACAACACTCTCTGGTAGATTGTTCCAAGAGCTTACAACCCTCACTCCGAAAAAGTTTGCCCTCACAGTTTTCTGGACTTGCGACTTCTTCAATTTTGAGCTGTGACCCCTTGTGGGGGCGAGCGTCCGCCAGCTCCAAGTAAGGACACTCAACTGAGTAGTGCCCCCTGAGATGCTTATACACCTCAACTAGGTCTCCCCTTGCCCGTCTGTAGTATAAGCTAGGCAAGTTCAGGCACTCCAATCTCGCAGGGTAGCTGAGGTGCCGAAGTGCAGGCACCAGTCTGGTGGCCCTCCTTTGAACATTTTCAACCAACTGACAGTCCCTAGCATATCTCGGGGACCAGACGGGGTGATAGAACTCCAGATGGGGAAGCACTTCACTCCTGAGGATCGCTACGAGGGTCGGACCGTCTATATATCTGAACGACCTTCTTATAAGACCCAATAATTTATTTGCCTGGTTTACCTTCTTCTCGCAATGGCCCGAGAACTTCAGCTCATTGTCAACATACACACCTAGGTCCTTCTCACATTCAGTCTCAACTAGTGCAGTTTCTTCATCCCGTTGGGACATATGATACACCTCCTTACCGTTGGTACGCCCCAGGTGCATCCTCTTACACTTCGTGACATTGAATCTCAGCAGCCATTTTTTCGACCATTCCTGGAGCCCACAGAGGTCCTTCTGCAGCTTTTCACAGTCCGCTTGGTTCTTAATTTCCCGAAATAACTTGGCATCATCGGCAAACATTTGTATGGAGGAGTGTACAACGTCAGGCATGTCATTTATGAAACAAACAAACAACAGCTGGCCCAATACACTGCCCTGTGGTACCCCACTTGTGACAGGTATGTTGAAGCTTTCAACATAACTCACAAGGGATCTTGAATGTTTCATCTGTTATCAGACATATCTAACTCACTGTAATATAAATGTGTTTACTCTCAATTTCAAATCTCTGAACACGATATGAGGCAATAAGAAATATTAGAGTCTCTGAGGTACTACGTAAAAGAAAACGAAGGATTCAGGCGTCCTTAAGCGGTGAGAAAACGAACGTCTCAACTGGGAAACTTAAACTTGCCTAAATGTTTCAGTAGTTTAAAACTTTGGGGCACGCCATGTCCGAAAGTTCAATACCTTAGTTAGAAGTGGCAATAAACTTAAAATAATCGCAGGAGCACAAATGACAAACAGCCTCCACCACGGCCATTGTCAGACTGGCCAATGAAATTAAAATCGTACCCAGGCTGTTTCCTTTGAAAAAAATAAAATGTGATTGGTCGAAAAAAAAATTGCCTGTGATGATAACGATACATCATTGGTCACGACTGGATGATGTCAGTCAATATTGCACATGCGTGATGCGCCGATACATCTTCTCACAAAGACTGAAAACTACGTAAACTCAATTAAATTCAATTGTGTTGCTATTATCCATTTCCGCCAGTATATATGGGGTTCAAAATGCTCAGAATATCGAGATCTAAATGTTTCAGTTGTTTATAACTTTTGGGGGCACTGTGTCCTAAAGTAAAATAATACCCAAACTTCTGGCCACAGAAAAATCTACATATTATTTTATTGATAATTTTAAACTATTGTAAAAAAAAATGATCAAATAGAGATAGGAACATATAAAATTAATGATGAAAAGAAGATAAAATTTCATTAAATTCTAAATCAATTTGTTAAGAAAACCAATACCTCGAAGTTAAATGGTTATGATACAATTTAGGTATCAGGTATAGACCTAAAAGATGTTGATCTGACCTGACCTAACCTAACCCAACCCCACCCCACCCAGCCCACATCATTATATGTCCATAAGAGAAATGGGACATCTCAGAGTATCAGAAGATTATTAAAGAATATAATTTAACATTAAAGTTATTGTGTAATGACTAGTGTAATGCCCACAGCCATCCTGCCCACAGTCACAATAAAATCATAAACAATCCCATCAGATCCTAGTCAAATACCCTATGGTTGTCCGGCCAGCCAGCACGGTCAAATAACACCTTGATAACTTGTAGTGAGCCATTATCGGGTGGTAGTGGTGCAGTCGCTTAGTACCAGAGTACTATGTGTGGATTTGATTCATATTATCCACAGTTGTTCTTTGTATGATGCGGTATAAATGGTAAAATTTCAGTTACCACCAACCATTTGGAAGTTGAAATTATGCTTGATGGATGTAACGTGATATAGAATCGATTTTGTTATTTTCAATAATTTGCTGAAATTTATATTTAAAATGTTCTGATTTGGGGGGAAATTTTGACATTTCCTATGAACTTATGGGAAGGCATGTACAGTGTATGTAATTAATTTGTATTATTATGTGTGTATACTGTATGTATTTGTCTAGAATATATTATTAATTTTAGGAAAACCTATCCGACGCCAACCTAACCCATGCACTATACCGAGATCTGATTGGTTAACAAAACAACTAATAAAATGTAAAGTATCTCTCTTATACAGTCCTTAATTTGGGACAAAAATGCCATAAAAGAAGTGTTTTAGACTCGTCAAAACTACTGGTTGCAACCATAAAATTCTCAAAATTATTTGGGTGGCAACAAATGACTTAATATATTAATTAATAAAATTTACACAACTTGTTATTTTAATAATAAGTACTATACCAGTATTTTTCTTGTTCTTCTCTAACTATGAATATAAATCACCTGTAGTGGACAGGGCATCATGGATGAGGGAAATTATGGGGTAAAACACAGTGAAGAACTGATCACGTGACACTAAAGTAATGTCTCTACGTGTTTCGTGCTCACAAAAATTAACTGTTTACCGTAAACTATTTGCCAAAAGACACGACGTGGCAGCCCATGTTGTCGTCCCCTCTTAAACTAAAAAACACTGAATCTGGTCCAACTTAACTTGTAAGTAAATGACAGCGCCTCATATTGGGGGTTTTATTACCATAAATATAAGCTTGAATGTCTTCTTCTTTTTTTCTTATAGTTTTTACTGTCCAGATTCATGAGTCTATTATCTGCACAAATTCCTTTTATATTTATTTTTACATTTGGTTCAATAGGCTCTTAAACCTATTCTATACACAGTATAAATAATGAGAATCATATTGTTGGTATCAAATCCCATAATATGAGTTTTGATACATTTCCAGTTTCTTTTGAGTAGTATTGGTTAATGAGTGACCCTTACTGTATGTTCTTATACATGATTTCCCCTCCCTAGTTATGACGTATTGCTGTCCATCAAATCGTAAACTATCTGCAAGATCCATAGTCAGATTCATAGCTTGGGAGAAGGGGGCGGGGGGCTGTTGACCTAACTAGGGGGACAAGATTGTTTATTAACGGCTCTGCCATATTTGACATTATTATACATTAGTTGTAATTTCTGTATTTAAACCATTTGGAAATAAAACCAATTACTTTATACAAGAAAACACTAACTTCATTTATCACAACTAATAAATCAGCTCAACATTTTATATACAGTATAGAAAATGAACTCGTAAATTATTAAACTACACACAGATATATGTAATGATAACCTAAGTTCTGTATATAACATAGAGAGGAAAGAATTATATAAACTGAAGTACTATCGTGCACCAAAGTCGTGTCCACTACCCAGCCACAGTGAGGGGTCGAATTGCCTTGAGTCTGAAGTTTCGAAACAGCTGGGGGAAATGCTATGGTCGGCCAACAGATGTCGCCCACTGCAGTGTGTGGGGGGGACCATTCCTTGGGGTTCACTCAGGACTTGGCCAAATTTACGTTAACACGGATACAAATTATAAGGACCATTTGGTCCTACTTCCAGCTTAGCAAAAACAAATCTTTAAATTTAACAAAAGCAATGCTCATTAGAAAATGCTACAAATTACTGTACCATTTTACGCCCCTGACTGTGCCCCTATGGGAGCCGCCCTTGGGAGGACCCACATCAAGACTAATTATCCCTTTATTTTTGTTGGCAGCGCCTCCATGAAGGTCATTCTTGTTAACTGTATGTTGTGCTCCCTGAAGCAAGTAGTAAGTGTATAGCAATGTCCTTATTTCACTGTTGTTTATTATTTTTGTCTCTGTCTACATAGCTGATAGAACTGTTAGTATGATGTCATTTAACAGTAACTGGATTATACAATGGCACCAGTGCCTGTCTTGTCTCACTTAAGGACAGTTTAAAACAATTGGTATCAAACTTCTCCCGTCGCTGGCCGCACAATTCTTGCCAGCCATCACTTGGTACATAATGTTCTCTCACGTCATATTGTGATGACGTCATAGTTTGATAATGACCTATTGATTACCCTTAGTTTATAGGAGAGTAAAACAACATACTCGGTGACGTAGACGAAAATATTCATAAATACTGTACTAATTTGGGTAAATTATCACAGTCCTCCTGGCAGTTTACGCTAATCCATCATGTTAAAGCTTACACTACTTGGTCACGGTGTCCTTGATAGAAGAAAAAAACAGGATATTTCTACACCTTTCTTTATCCCAAATTCAATACGAATCCACCAAGCGTGTGATAATGTGTCGGGAAGGTCAGGTTAAGATAGCATAGGTTGGGGTAGGTTAGGTGTGATTAATGTGTCAGTAACGAAGTCAGGCAATGTGTGTATGAGGAGTAAGTGGCGTTGTTTATATACTAGCCTCAAGTGCTGGGTTACTAGGGTGTACTGGAAGTCAAGACGGCTCACTCTACTGGGACCTGTTGTGGGGGGGTTACTGACTAGTCTCTCTCTCTCTCTCTCTCTCTCTCTCTCTCTCTCTCTCTCATGTATACATATCAGTATATATCTCTACCGTCTGTCTGTCTGTCCGTCTCAGATGCCAAGAATACAAACAAACACTAATTACTGAAAACTCCTGCACCCACGAACAAGCAGACTTCCATACACACATCCATACATGCATAGATGGGTAGTGGTGGTGGGTTGGTGGGTGGGGTGGGTGGGTGGGGGGGTGGGGTGGGTGGGGGTGGGTGGGTGGGTGGGGTGGTTGGGTGGGTGGGTGGGGGTGGTTGGGTGGGTGGGTGGGGGTGGGGTGGTGGGTGGGTGGGGGTGGGGTGGTGGGTGGGCAGGGTGGGTGGGTGGGTGGGTGGGTTGGTGGGTGGGTGATGAGAGGGATTAGTACACACTTTGTTCTTGGTTTCCGTCGTTCATGAAGGAGAGAAGAGGGGAGTGGGAGGAGGGAAGAAGGGGAGGAGAGAAATAGCAAAGGAAGGAAGGAAGGAAGGTGGGTGGGATGGAGGGAGGTAGGAGGGATGGAGGGAGGTAGGGAGAGGGGAGGGAGTGAGAAAGGAGAGGGAAGGAAAATACGAGAAAATGGTTTAGAAGTAAAGAAAGAAAGGAGGGAGGAACGTGAGGATTGAGGTGATCTTAGGAGAGAGAGAGAGAGAGAGAGAGAGAGAGAGTAGGAGGAGTGTGAGAGAGAGAGAGAGAGAGGTAAGGAGGGAGGGAGGAGTTCTCATGTAACACGGAGATGAAAGGCTCTTCAGTCTTGTACACCACTGCCTAGAAGACACTACTCATTCTCATCTCTCACCAACAGTTCTTCATAGGTGCCCTCCCTCCTCTGATAATTTAATATATAATTCATGTTGCCGTAAATACCCAATTACCTGTCTAAGTCACCCAAAATATAATACAAACATTTAACTATTTCCATCCATCTATCTATCTATCTACATTACAACAACATTTCTAGTAAGTCAACTTGAATCAACTTTTATTTAAACACTAGACGATTCAATCCATCCATTCACCTATTTGTAAACGCTTGACACTCTCTTTATTCTCAAAGTGCAGTGTGAAGAAACTGAACTCAGACAGAGATAATTGAGAGGAAAAGTTCGGAGGGGAGGAAATACTGAACTCCTGCTTATTTATCATCCTGGAACAATAAAGTGTTACAAAGGGCGTTTGCTGTTGAAAGAGGGTGCTCGAGAAGAGGAAGTGTGCTGGATAAGAGGGTGTGCGCCGCTGGATAAGAGGGTAAGTGCTCGTGCTGGATAAGAGGGTAAGTGTCGCCGTGCTGGAAAGAGGGTAAGTGTCGCCGGATAAGAGGTGTGTCCGGAAAAGAGGGTGTAAGTGTCGCCGTGCTGGATAAGAGGGTGTAAGTGTCGCCTTGCTGGATAAGTATCGACGTGCTGGATAAGTGTCGACGTGCTGGATAAGGGTTGTAAGTTTTGACGTGTTGGATAAGTGTCGACGTGCTGGATAAGTGTCGACGTGCTGGAAAGGGTGGGTCGCCGTGCTGGATAAGAGGGTGTGTGTCGCCTTGCTGGACGACGTGCTGGAAGAGGGTAAGTGTCAACGTGCTGGATATGGAGTGTCGCCGTGCTGATAAGAGGTGTGTCGCTTGCTGGATAAGTGTCACGCTGGAGAGGGTGTAAGTGTCAACGTGCTGGAAAGAGGGTGTAAGTGTCAACGTGCTGGATAAGTGGGTGTAAGTGTCGACCTGCTGGATAAGTGGGTTAAGTGTTGACGTGCTGGATAAGAGACCAACTTCAATGACACTTTCCCAGACATAAACTTCTCAGACTTGACTTGTGTACGTGAGCTGCCGTCCTCCTGCTCCTGCTTGACTTTTACCTCGACCTAATAAACCATTCACCAAACACCCAAAAAATTTGGGGTGTCCAAAACATTACTTTTGCTCAAAATATTAGTATAGGTATTTCTCGACGCGCAGATTAAGAATCTGTGGTCGAAATATTGAAATTTTCATAATTAATTGTACTAATTATCCATCGAACATGATTTTTTTTATAATTTTCCTGATTAATTTGAGCATTTTTGGTGTTGAAATTTTGCTTATAATCTCAGTATTTGGTATTCCTCGACACGCGGATTAAGAGTCCAGCTTAAGTCAATGGCAAGCACATTATCATGGATAAGTAACTTATAAAAATTTATTTTCTTTCTGTTTCTAAATCCTATCCTCACTAACGTGTTCAGGGATAAACAATAACCTTACACCCAGGCTGACCACTGATTAATTATCTGGTTTGTGTTTCAAGAGAGGCGGGAGAGGGATGGACCTAGCCAAGTTGCCAGTAAGGTAACTCGAGGCCGTCAGTCTGTGTGTCTTATAAGTGGCGTTGACAATACCTTTATTACGCTTAATGTAAAATTAAATTTTCATCAACATCTTGGTTCCATAGACTTGAAGGATTAGTCAATCAGGACCATCATACACTAGTAACCGCACCACTACAATAACCATAACACCGCCACAGTAACCACGCCACCATAATAACCACACAATCACAATAACCACAGTAACCACAACACCACACCACCATAATAACCACAACACCACACCACCACAGTAACCACGCCACCATAATAACCACACAACCACAATAACCACAACACCACACCACCACAGTAACCACGCCACCATAATAACCACACAACCACAATAACCACAGTAACTCACAAACACCACACCACCACAACACCACACAACCACAGTAACCACGCCACCATAATAACCACACAATCACAATAACCACAGTAACCACAACACCACACCACCATAATAACCACAACACCACACCACCACAGTAACCACGCCACCATAATAACCACACAACCACAATAACCACAACACCACACCACCACAGTAACCACGCCACCATAATAACCACACAACCACAATAACCACACTATCACAAACTCAAAACACCTCTGAATCGTCTCCCAACCACTACATCGACGCATATTACAACACCTAGAAATCTAACTACAGTAATATGCCTTTAAACGAAGTCTCTAAAACAAAACAATTAATAACCCTTACGACCTTTCCCTCTCCACCACCGCCGCCACCACAAAAAAAAAGTTCCAGCAGTTATCAAACAACCACAACAGCAGCCCTTGAAACCATACTACCATAACACAGCCACTAAAACTGCTATCACCACCACAACCAAGATACAACACTACCACCGAAACTTACACACACACACACACACACACACACACCACAACCGTAAGAGCCTCAGCAATTGCTTCAAGTACTACTAAAACTGAAGGAAACAACCATTCACAACCACCATCCCTTCACCACCACAACTAAAGCCCTTCCCTCCCTAACACTACCACTCTCTCCCTGCCACTCTAGCACCACCATGCACTTCGAGGACCTGCTGGCGGACATAGGGTCATTTGGGATGTACCAGCGTCTTCTGAGCTTCCTACTGATCCCATTCACCACGGGCATCGTCGGCTTCACCTACTACGTGCAGCTCTTTGTGTTGGCTGTACCTCCTCACACTTGCAACCAGAGACCTCACGAAGGAGGAGACCAAGAATTCTACCATCACCTCGCTCCTCTGCTCAACACCACGCCCTATGTAAGAACCAGGAGAGAGAGAGAGAGTCCGTTTAGTATTCGAGGTTTGTTTACCAATCTGGATCCTGATGCATAAAAATTAGATACGTTCATTTGTCTCCTACTGAGGCATTGATTGATGGACTGACTTGTGTATAGTTCATCTGGTGTTGTAACAGTTTAGGTCATGTGTCGCCGTGTTCACTAATAGGGGGTTTTCTATTTACAATTATAATATACCAAAAATTATAGATAGATATATATATATATATATATATATATATATATATATATATATATATATATATATATATATATATATATATATATATATATATATATATATATATATATATATATATATATATATATATATATATATATATATATATATATATATATATATATATATATATATATATATATATATATATATATATATATATATATATATATATATATATATAACTATACTTAAAATATCAAAACTACCCTGTGTTTTCTGGAGGAGGTCAGCCTCCTCCTGGAGAGATGCTGCTTCCCAAGACTAGAACACTACCACCGAGTGTCTATTAGTCAAGGGAACGAGGCAGGCATCGCGTACTGGCTGCATAACAGATGCAAAGTATTAGGAAGACGCTAAGGTGAAAGCACACTAAATCCTAAGCGTTTTGGTTAAGTAAGAAAGATATATTGTCGACAATCCATTCGACACCCTTCACTTACCCCAACAATTAACTCCGGTACCTACTACTAAAGAGCGATACAGCCTGAGTTGCTCAAACCACTTCTAAAAATTCAGTAATAGACAAACTCCTTCCTCTGGTGTTACCTAAAGCAGCACCAAGGTTGTCAGGTAAACAACTGTAGTACCAGGTGTTAAGAGGATAACAAAGGCTCCCTCACATGTGCTAACTTGTCTCCCGAGAGCCAAGGAACAATATCAGAATACCATTAATTATAAACAACAACCTCTTCAAAACCTATCTCACCTCCTACTGACCCACCGTCTTCCCGTCTGCTCATTAACAAGTCACTTACAGATTACTTAAGTTGATCTTGATTTGATACTAAATTAACGCTAAGTATACATCATCACTCATTATAATCTGATAAACTTCAGATAACAGTTGTAAAAATGACTGAGGTATTGGAGGACTTTGTAACCGTGAAACTGTTCTGTCCTAACATATCAACACAATAACATACCCACATACTAACACACCCACATACCCACATACTAACATACCCACATACAAACATATCAACACAATAACATACCCACATACTAACATACCCACATACCCACATACTAACATACCCACATACTAACATATAAACACAATAACATACCCACATACTAACATACCCACATACTAACATACCCACATACTAACACACCCACATACTACCATACCAATATACTGCAGGACTCGGACGCCAGGCAGCCCTACACATGTCACCAGTTTGACCTTAATGTGACCTCATCATACTTGGTGTCCGATAACGTGATCAACGTGACCTCACTGGAGCAGTTACCTTCACCAACCATGACCTGTGTCGACGGCTGGAAATATGACCTCGATCACGTTTTCTCTTCCTACACCTCAGAGGTCAGTAAAGGTCAAAGTTGATCAACTACGTATAATGTTTGTCGACTATATATATATCTAAATATGTAAATGTCATATTAAGTTCAGGAATATACTAACTATTAGTGTTTATGAGAGACTAGTATGATTGTGTGTGTGATTTGATATGTAGGGAAAAAGGAATTTGACTTCATCTGCTGGACAACCCGAGGACACAAGGGTCAGACAAGTGCCTCCAAAAGGTCGCCAGTTATTGAAGGTTAAATCTCAGTGGTCATTCCCTTGGTACACTTAAAACACTTAATCCTTCACTTGGAATATGGTAAAAGTATCCTTTAGAGTTACACTTTACAAAATTTTTGACAAAAATATATTTTTATCTCAGAATTGAAATTTAAGGGGTTTATGAGAAATTAGCATTGAAAAATGTCAGTAAAATATTTCAAGGGTCATTTTGGCCACTAATTACTCTGCAATCGAATCGTGGACCACATATTCATAATCAGCAAGCTCAGGAGTACACATACTGTGATTTTCAGCAAAATCAAATTTTTGGTCCAAAACCACCAAAAATGTAAGTCTTACACCTTACAAAATTTTTGACCATATTATAATGTTTTCTCGGAATTGAAATTTAAGTTCTTTAACTAATTAAGTATATTCAGAATAACACACAAACCCTGAATCACACCTTCGAAACCCATAGTTGATGAGTAATTAGCATTGAAAAATGTCAGTAAAATCTTTCAAAATGTCTAAAATCTTTCAAGGGTCATTTTGGCCACTAATTACTCTGATATCGAATCGTGGACCACATATTCATAATCAGCAAGCTCAGGAGTACCCATACTGTGATTTTCAGAAAAATCAAATTTTTGGCCAAAAACCACCAAAAATGTAAGTCTTACACCTTACAAAATTTTTGACCAAAATATACTTTTTTCTCGGAATTGAAATTTAAGTGGTTTAACTAATTAAGCACTTTCAGAATAACACACAAACCCTGAATCACACCTTCGAAACCCATAGTTGATGAGTAATTAGCATTGAAAAATGTCAGTAAAATCTTTCAAAATGTCTAAAATCTTTCAAGGGTCATTTTGGCCACTAATTTCTCTGATATCGAATCGTGGACCACATATTCATAATCAGCAAGCTCAGGAGTACCCATACTGTGATTTTCAGCAAAATCAAATTTTTGGCTAAAAACCACCAAAAATGTAAGTCTTACACCTTACAAAATTTTTGACCAAATATATACTTTTTTCTCGGAATTGAAATTCTATGGTTTAATCCAATTAAGTACTTTCAGAATAACACACAAACCCTGAATCACACCTTCGAAACCCATAGTTGATGAGTAATTAGCATTGAAAAATGTCAGTAAAATTCCTTTCAAAATGTCTAAAATCTTTCATGTAATATTTTGGCTACTAATTACTTGATATCGAATCGTGGACCATATATTCTAATCAGCAAGCTCAGGAGTACCCATACTGTGATTTTGGTAGCAAAAATCACCCTTTATTAAAAATCACTGCAAAAAATGTAAGTCTTACACTCCATACAAAATTTTTAGACCATAATATACTTTTTTCTCGGAATTGAAATTTAAGTGGTTTAATCCACTACACTCTTCTCAGAATAAACACACAAAACCCTGAATCACACCTTCAAACCCATAGTTGATGAGTAATTAGCATTGAAAAATGTCAGTAAATCTTTCAAAATGTCTAAAATCTTTCATGGGTCATTTTGGCCACTAATTACCTATAGTCAAATCAGGACCCTATATTCCTAATCAGCAAGCTCAGGAGTGACTCATATCAGATTTTCAGAAAAATCAAATTTTGGCCAAAACCACCAAAATGTAAGTCTTATTAATCTACAAAATTTTTGACCAAAATATACTTTTTTCTCGGAATTGAAATTCTATGGTTTAATCCACTAAGCATCTCTCTGTATCAACACACAAACCCTGAATCACAATTTCGAAACCCATAGTTGATGAGTAATTAGCATTGAAAATGCTGCAAAATCTTTCAAAATGTCTAAAATCTTCACAATATTTTGGTTACCAATTACTCTGATATCGAATCGTGGACCACATATTCATAATCAGCAAGCCTTAGAGTACCCATACTGTGATTTTTCAGCAAAATCAAATTTTTAATAAAAACCACTCAAAAATGTAAGTCTTACACCTTTTACAAAAATTTTTGACCAGAATATACTTTTTTCTCGGAATTGAATTTATGGTTTAATCCACTAAGTACTTTCAGAATAACACACAAACCCCTGAATCACACCTTCGAAACCCATAGTTGATGAGTAATTAGCATTGAAAAATGTCAGTAAATCTTCAAAATGTCTAAATTCATGGTCATTTTACACTAATTACTCTGATATCGAATCGTGGGACCACATATTCATAATCAGTAAGCTCAGGAGTACCCATACTGTGATTTTCAGCAAAATCAAATTTTTGGCCAAAAATCATCAAAAAATGTAAGTCTTACACCTACAAAATTTTTGACCAAATATACTTTTTTCGGAATTCGAAATTAAGTGGTTTAACTAATTAAGTACTCTTTCAGAATAACACACAAACCCTGAATCACACCTTCCTTCGAAAACCCATAGTTGATGAGTAATTTCAGCATTGAAAAATGCTCAGTAAAATCTTTCTCAAAATGTCAGTAAAATCTTTCGAGGTCATTTGGCCACTAATTACTCTAAGAATTAGATAAATGGACCACATGTTCATAAGAGCAAGTTCAGGAGTACCCATACTGTGTTTTCAGCAAAATCTAATTTTGGCCAAAAACCACAAAAATGTAAGTCTATAACCTTACAAAATTTTTGACCAAATATACTTTTTCTCAGAATTGAAATTTAAGGGTTTTAACCAATTAAGTACTTTCAGAATAACACACAAACACTAAATCACACCTTGGAAACCCATAGTTGATGAGTAATTAGCATTGAAAAATGTCAGTAAAATCTTTCAAAAATGCTCCAAAAATCTTTCATGGGTCATTTGGCCACTAATTACTCTGATATCGAATCGTGGGACCCACATATCTTAAATCAGCAAGCTCAGGAGTACCCATACTTTAGATTTTCAGCAAATCCAATTCTTGGCTAAAAACCACCAAAAATGTAAGTCTTACACCTTACAAAAATTTTTGACCAACATACTTTTTTCTCGGAATCTGAAATTTAAGTGGTTTAACTAATTAAGTACTTTCAGAATAACACACAAACCCTGAATCACACCCTGAAACCCATAGTTGATGAGTAATTAGCATTGAAAATGTCAGTAAAATCTTCAAAATTTCTAAAATCTTTCATGGTCATTTTGGCCACTAATTACTCTGGATATCGAATCGTGGACCACATATTCCTAATCAGCAAGCTCAGGAGTACTCCATACTGTGATTTTTCAGCAAAATCACCCTTGCCAAAACCAATTAAAAATGTAAGTCTTACACCTACAAAAAATTCTTGACTAAAATATATTTTTTTTTCGGAATTGAAATTCTAAGTGGCTTTAACTAATTATAATTTCTAGAATAACACACAAACCCCGAATCACACCTTCGAAACCCATATAGCGTTGATGAGTAATTAGCATTGAAAATGTCAGTAAAATCTTTCAAAATGTCTAAAATCTATCATGTCATTTTGGCCACTAATTACTCTGATATCGAATCGTGGACCATACATTCATAATCAGCAAGCTCAGGAGTACCCATACTGTGATTTTCAGCAAAATCAAATTTTTGGCCAAAACCACCAAAATGTAAGTCTTAATAACTCAGCAAAATTTTTGACCAAAATATACTTTTTCTCGAATTGAAATTCTATGGCTTAACTAATTAAGTACTTTCAGAATACACAAAAACCCCTGAATCACACTCTTCGAAACTCATAGAAGTTGATGAGTACTACATTGAAAATGTCAGTAAAATCTTTCAAAATGTCTAAAATCTTTTTCATGGCCATTTACACTAATTACTCTGATATCGAATCGTGGACCACATATTCATAATCAGCAAGCTCAGGAGGCCCCATACTGTGATTTTCAGCAGAAATCAAATTTCTTATTAAAAATCAATTAAAATGTGTAAGTCTTACACCTTACAAAATTTTTGACCAAAAATATTCTTTTTTCTCGAATTGAAATTTAAGTGGTTTAACTAATTAAGTATTTTCAGAATAACACACAAAACCCTGAATCACACCTTTCGAAAACCCATAGAAGGATGAGTAATTAGCATTGAAAAATGTCAGTAAAATCTTCTCAAAAATGTCTAAAAATCTTTCTTTAAGGGCCATTTGGCCACTAATTGTTTTGATATCGAATCGTGGACCATATTCATAATCAGCAAGCTCAGGAGTACTCCATACTGTGATTTTCAGAAAATCACCTCTTGGCCAAAAATTCACCAAAAATGTAAGCCCACACTTACAAAAATTTTTGACCAAAATATACTTTTTTCGGAATTGAAATTTAAGTGGTTTAACTAATTAAGCATTCTTCAGAATAACACACAAACCCTGAATCACACCTTCGAAAACCCATAGTTGATGAGTAATTAGCATTGAAAATGTCAAAATCTTTCAAAATGTCTAAAATCTTTCATGGGTCATTTTTGTCATACTAATTACTCTGATATCGAATCGTGACCACATATTCATAATCATCAGCAAGCTCAGGAGTAACGATACTGTGATTTTCAGAAAATCACCCTTAATAAAACCACCAAAATGTAAGTCTTACACCTTACAAAATTTTTGACCAAAATATACTTTTTTCTCGGAATTGAAATTTAAGTGGTTTAACTAATTACACTTTCAGAATAACACACACAAACCCTGAATCACACCTTCGAAAACCCATAGTTGATGAGTAATTAGCATTGAAAAATGTCAGTAAAATCTTTTCAAATGTCTAAAATCTTTCATGTCATTTTGGCTATCATCACTTGATATCGAATCGTGGACCACATATTCAT